ATAGATAGATAGATAGATAGATAGATAGATAGATAGATAGATAGATAATTATAAATGTGCAAGAACAAAGATTTCACTTATGTTAAAAGCTAAAAGTGGCAAAAGACTAGCTAAAAACAGCAAGCTTCTAGCTAAAAGTAGCCAAATATAACCTAAAAGCTAAAATAGCAAAAGCCTAGCAGCCAGATAAAAGCTAGATGTTGAAATAAAATAGACGATAACAGACGTTAAAGCTCAGGACTTCAGGTGAGACTGAAAGAGGTGCAGTGGGTCGTACCTCCGTGTGACAGGACCCTCAGGAACGGCTCCAGAACGCTCATATTGACCCGAGACTCCTGTGGAGAGTCACTCGTTGAGAAGCAGCGCCACCTGGTCCCCTCCTCGTCCACCACATCCTCCTTATCCAGAGCTCCCAGTCCACTCTGATCGACCCCTGGGAGAGAACCGGTCCTGGAGTGTGACCTGGACCTGGAGCCCATTCCTCTGTGGTGACTGGAAGCCACGCCGAGACGCTGCAGGTCGTCTAAGGAACAAGTCCGCATTTAAGGACTGTAAAAGCATCAACTCAAGACACCTTTGACCTTTGACCTCTCACCTTCCAGGTTCAGGTCATAGATGGGGAAGTGCAGTGATTCACTGTCTGAGGGCGTCTCCATGGCATCCAGGTCGATATCGAGTCCGGTGTCGTCAACCTCATCCAGTGACGGGGACAAGAAGCCTGAGGCGAAGTCATCAGACGCCATCGACTCGCTGCCTCCTGAGGGAGAAACATCATGTGACAGGAAGAGACGGTGTGACAATGGATCCAGAAGGATTCAAATCAATAAAATAATTAATTGGAATAAAAGAACAAAACATACATTACCTAACGATAGGCTGAGTTCTGGAGCCGTCAGGACTTTCTTCTTCTTTGGTCGAGACAGAGACAGACTTCTGGGACGAGCTGGACACACAGTTGAACATTTGAATGAAGTTAGTTTACTTTTATTCATTCAATATTTATATTGTGAACGTTTATGGAGCATTCACACGATTGGGATCCATTTATCTTCCGTACGTTTGTCGGCGTCTTTCTCGTTCCACAATTTTTGTGCTGTTTCAACAAATCATGAATCAAAATGTTCAGCTCATTCAGGACACTTTTGGTATTGGTGCAACTTTTGCTTTTTGAAATATTTAGCCTTTTCTGTCATTTTTTTTTCTCATAGAAAATGAATTGAGCTCATTTTACATCCTTCAAATCTTTAGATCTGTTTACAAATGTTTACTGCTCCTTTCACATTTTGTTCTGCTTCAGCTTTGTGCAAATTTAAACTTTTGTTCAGCTACTTTCAGCTGCTATTTCAGCTGTTTTGTGATCCTTTCAGATTCTTGTTGCTAACTACAACATTTTTGTGTTTCTTCTAAATTATTTTTGCTAATTTCAGCTTGTTATGCTCCTTTCAGCTTATTTCTGCAAGTTTCAACTTTTTCTACTACTTCAGCTGTAGCTGAAGGTGTCCATGCTAATGCTAAATTTGAGCTTTTTCTTTAGCTAGCTTTTAGCTAATTCCACATTTTTGCACTTGTTTAAACATTTTTCAGCCTAATTCAGCAAAATTGTGCTCTCTCCACTTCCTTCTTTAGAAAGTTAAGCTTCTTTCTACCTTTTTTAGCTACTTTCAACTGTTTTTTGTTGCTCATTTCAGCTTTTTTCAGATAATTTCCACTTATTTGTGTTAATTTCTGCTTCTTTCAGCCTAAAGGGCAAACAAGCTCTTTTTGCTTTCTTCTGCTAATTTAAGCTTGTTCTGACCTTACAGCTAGCTTTTTGCATTTTTAGCTAATTTTAACTGTTGTCAGATAAATTTGAGTTTTTCATGTTAATTTCTGCTACTTTCAGCCTAATTAAAATTTTATGCTCCTTTCAGCTTTTTCTTTTGCAAGTTTCAGCTTGTTCTGCTCTTCAGCTCTTTTATTGCTAATTTTAGCTTTGTCAGCTAATTCCACATTTTATGAGCTCGTTTCAGCTTTTTCTGCTTCCATCTGGTTCTTTCTGCCTTTTCAGCTACTTTTCAGCTATTTTTTTGTTGTTGCTAATTTCACCTTTGTTAGCTAATTTCTTAATTTTTGTGCTAATTTCTGCTTATTTAAATCTAATTCATTCAAATATGAGTCCTTTCTGATTTATTCTGCTAATTTTGGCTTGTTCTTCCATTTCAGCTACAATTCAGCATGCTTTTTTCCCCCGCTAATTTCAGCTGTCTTTCAGCAAGTTTTTCTGCAATAAGCATTCACACTGCATTTTCGCAGGAAATAAAATTTTTCTAATTTTATTTATAAAAATCTAAACAGGGCCTGGTCTGATTTTGTGCAGTCGCAGAAAATAAAAATCAGGATCTACTACAGAAAACAACAACCTGTTCCTGATTACCTGGTCTGTTCCTGCTCGATGTCGATGATTTCCTCTCGGAGTCAGACGCCTCGAACTCTTCACTTCCTGCTGGGTGAGAGGACGGGTAAGACAGGAAACTGAAGAAGAAGAAGTGTGAGAAAAGTGGCTTTACCTGGCTGGAAGTCAAACACCTGCTGCGTGTCTCCTGCTGACAAACAAAGTGATAAAATGCTGAGAACAGAATCTGAACTGGTCTCAAACAGCCATCATGATGTCCTCACCTTCTTCACCTGCAGCAGACGTTTCCTTCCTGCGTTCCTCTTCCTCCTCTTTATCGCCTTTAGAACAAGATAACGTGATTCCGCAGCAGCAAAATAAGAGACATATTTAAGATCGACACACCTGTACCTGTCCTCTTACCTGCTGAGTGACCATCTGCTGTTGCCATGGCTACGTTGTGTCCTCCTGCGTCTTTGTCTTCTGTTAAAAAACATTTAGAACTGAGCCGGAGATCAATATTTTAGTCCAGTTAATTACAAATGTTGTTATACTCTGACCACATTGTCTGAGATGAATGATTTTGTGTGTCTTCATAAACGGTTGAGTACCTGTTTGATTAGCGTACGGCGCAGCGAGAGACGTGTTTGTCGTCCAGGTACTTAAGGAAGCTTCAGCGTCACTTGTTGGAAAAGTACTGGTTGGGTTCATGCTGCTGGTGGTTCCGGTGTTTAGTGTTTTTATCTGCCAGAAACATCCTGCCCATTCACAGAAAAAAAAGTGTCACACTGACAGAAACAAAGAAAAAATATGCACTGGTTAAAAAAATGTACAATACAGTCCAATAAGCTATTTACTAGGTACATACCAGATACCTGATATGTATGTACCAGGAACCTACAGGAACTGGGCTGTATTATGAAATGACTTGTTACCCTATACTTACAGGAAAATACTAGGTATAAGACTGGTACAAACCTGGCATGTACTGGCCTGGGAACAGTACCAACCAGGTTCATACTGGGTAAGTACTCACTATGTACCCAGTATGTTTTTTTGAATATTCGATACATACCTAGTATGTACATAATACATTTCAGGTAAGTACCATGTGTGGAACAGCTTGGTACCCAGTAGATTCCCATAAATAAATACTCAGTACCTATTTGCTACGTATTTATGATTTATTTACAGGTAGGTACTAGGTAAATACCTGAGTGCCTTGTCAAGGATTCAAGGAACTTTGATTGTCATACCAGCTCACATTTTCATGTTTATAGTATGAAATTTGGACTCAGGTCCCAGATCAAGAAGCCTAACAATTAACAATGGTGGAGACCCAGAGTAAGACCCAGGACACGCTGGAGGGACTATGTTTCTCAGCTGGCCTGGGTGCACCTTGGGATCCCCCTGGAGGAGCTGGCCCAAGTGGCTGGGGAGAGGGAAGTCTGGGCCTCCCTACTTAGGCTGCTACCCCCGTGACCCGACCCCGGATAAGCCTAGTGGCCTTGCTCTGAATGCTCCTCATCCGCCTGCTTGAGCGGAGGGGCTGGAACAGACTGTGTGCAGGATGAGTGCAGTCCTTCATGATGCGGAGCGCCCTCCCCCTGCATCGTAATGTGTAGAGGTCCAAGGTGGTGGGAAGGCTGCTCTCCACAGTTTTCTGTGCAGCCGTAACCACCCTCTGCAGAGGGTGTCAATACCAGTACTAACTGGTATCATTGATTGAATTAGGAGGGAAAACTTCCAGTAAGCTACTGTCCTGGCTGAGCATTCGACTGCCATCTTCATCTTATTTATTCTGTTCTCTTTGGTTGAGGACATGTTCTGTGTTATTTTTCAGCCTGTCTGTGTCCCCTTCTAATTAACAGAAGAAGAAGTCATGATCTGCAGGGCTGCAGTAGCTCGGTGGTCAGTGCCATGGTCTTGTAAAACTGAGGCTGCAGATTTGAGCCCAGGTTGCATCAGGAAAGACGTCAGCTACAAAACGTTTGACCGATTTTTCATGGTAGCTGTAGCAAACCCTGCAGAAGGGAGCAGCTGAAAGAAGACAATGATGCATGATCTGCAAGACTCTTGATGGAGAACATTCTCAGCCCTTGTTGAGGGATGATCCAGCTATTGTCAGTAAAATACCACCCAACCTGTTGTTGAGAACATTGGATTTGAGGATATAAAATGCGCTACTTCGATGCAATGCAAAATAACTGTTTTCATTTATTGTTTTACAGACTTGTTTTGTATTATGCATCCAAGTGCTGCCCAACCCCCGCTGGTTTTCAGCTGATATCACTAATTTGTTGAAATGAAGACAAACCACATTGAGAACAATAGATATAGACAATAAAACACAATAGATATATCGTGTAACTAACGTCGCCTGCACAGGAAATTGAAACGTGTCATTGTTTTGAATCGATGGGTAGTCATTTATATCGGCCTTTTCTGCGTTGCGTGCTCTCCCAAGAGACAAATTATTTCAGGGACAATTACCTCGATGAAACTATTGTTTGTAGCTATTGGTGACACTGATGAGGTACACTAATGATGAAAATTAAGTACAAGTGCTGTGTAGCAGAGAGTACTGGCCCACTTTGACTTCCAGAGAGAAGACTTCCAGGCACTAAGTACTTACATACCTAGTACACTGTATAAGTTAGGTACCCAGTATCAGGCTCATTTATGGTTAAAGCCTTTTATTGTGTATTTCTTCTCCTCCGGCTCCTTGATATTCCTGACAGCAGCCGTATAAATCACCACATCGCTTTAGTGTGAGCTTGTATTCAAACGTCAGTCATACTACAACCTGATTCAGTCGATCAGAGAGGAAGCTAAAGTCAAATCGGACAGAACCAAAGCGCTGACAACCACCGCAGTGTCACCTTTTAGATCTGTTTTCTATAAACAAACACAAAACATGCAAATCAGGCAGAGGTTAACTGTCAGCAGCAGAAACCGCACGCTTGTGGCCAATGACGAATAAATCCGCAACAAACGATGTTTATATCTGGCAGAATGTTCTTCTGATATCAGTTTGAGGTGCAGGTTCGGATGCATTTATTGAAACAGAGTGCAGCTCTCCTGCTGGGACTGCCTGTAATAATAAGAGCACTCAAAGGAGAAGCAACCGAAACAGGCTGAACCTGTTGACACGATGCTGAGCAGCTTAAAATGTAACTTCGTGAAGATTTGAACTTAACAAACCCTGTTCAGAAACTTGGATCAGACTGCAGCAGGAACCTGTGCCGGACCGGTACCACCCTGATCAGACATGAACAGCTTAAGAACAGGCGGAGGCTGAACTACAAAATAAAAGTCTGATCTGGAAGGAAGGGAAGAGAGCATAAAAAAGTTTAGAGGGACAGGAGTTAAAGTGAACAGACTTACGGCAGTGCAGATCAGCCCCGTCGACTGTCAGGTGAGGCGAGACAGGTGAGGTGGGTGAGACGGGTTCAGGACAAACAGGGACCGGCTGGTGAGTTTATGAGTGGACTCTGACACCCTCACCACCTGTCTCCCCTCTGTCTGTCTGTCTGTACCTGTAAGGACAAAGGAGGTGTGGTGTGTTGCAACAAAAAGGGCCCCGCCCGGTTGCCGTGGCAACTCTGACTGTGCAGCAGGCGTGCCCAGGGTGGAAACTGCAGCACGCATGTTGCTACCTGCTGAGTGTGTGTGTGTGTGTGTGTGCGTGCATGCATGTCTGTGTGTGGCAAGTCAGTGGCACAGCTGACCCGAGCCGTTTGACAGCTTCTTTTGTTCTGAATGTTTGCAAACTGTTTCCCTTGAGCTAAAGCAACAATAAGTTCACACGTTAAAGCTGTGAAAAACCCTGGAAGATACATCTTTGTGTTGCAGCCTTTAGTTTTGGTTGATGAGTATGGAGGACGGAATGTGACAAAATGAAATAAATCAATACATAATAATGAATAGTATCATTTAAATGTTAAATACGTCATTAAAGCATTAAATACACAATTAAATTATTTATTTTAGGATTTATTTATTTAACTGTGTCACATTCCACCCATGAAATTATGTTACGTGTCAGTCTCACTTGTCAAACTCAGTGGGCGGGACTAACGCTGATCACGTGAAATCCATTGCTTTGGTCTGAAGTCATCTCGTAAAAGCGCGTTTTCTACTTTACGTTCATGGTATGAAAAAAAAGGTTTCATCCAAACACACGTAAACACAATTACTACTTCCTAAAGTTTCTGAATATATTTTCTTGCCTGTGGATCCATCAATTATCGGCGGTCGATTTGTCTCCGCTTGCTGTGACGAGCAGCAAATCAGGCGTCAGGGTCTGTTCACGAGCCGCCCTAGTCCCGCCCACTGAGTTTGACGATTGAGGTATATTTAATTATTTAATGATGTATTTAATAATTAAATTATACATTTAATTTAGGAACATTTAGGAACTTTTGTGTAAAATCTTTTTATCTGTTGCTGCTGTTACACTTGAATTTCCCTTCCGTGGGACAATAAAGGCTGTTTCTATTCTATTCTATTGTAATTGTTATGTTTGTATTGTATGTTTCATTTTGTCACATTCTGTCCTCCATAGCTGAGCAGCCTGTTTCACACGCAAACAAACTGTAGACACCAACTTTTCAACACTCGCTATGATGATGATTTTTAGTCGCTGATAATAGAAGACACTGTAACTTGACAATAATAATCTGAATCAGTCATGATTAGAATTACAACTTCGTGTATTTAATGGGAAACATGAACTTTCAAAATACGTTTTTCAGAAAAATGTTCTTGTTTAGCAGTATTTCAAAATACCAGCATCCTGTTAACAACATAAAATAGCAAATTTGTGACATTATTTTTCTCCAGTAAAAGAAAATGTTAGCTTTGCTTTGATTTATTGAAGCAATGTTGGACTCCTGCAGGTGACGATCAGAGAGTGGGGATTTTTAAATGGATTTGTTGTCTTCAAAATGTTATTAAAAGTTTTATTCATATGAGTGGCACTGTGGATCAGTTGGTAGAACTGTCGCCCCTCAGCAAGAAGGTTGTCAGATTGAATCCCAGTTGTGAGGCCTTTCTGGGTGGAGTTTGCATGTTCTCTCCGTGCATGCGTGGGTTTTCTCCGGGTGCTCCAGTTTCCTCCCACAGACCAAAAACATGCATGTTAGACTGATTGGTAACTCTAAATTGTCTCTAGGTGTGAGTGAGAGAGTGAATGGTTGTTTGTCTCCATGTGGTCCTTTGGTGGACAGGAGACATGCGTTGACCCCACATTTCACACAGTGGTACCAGTGACCCCCTCCTTAAAAAGGTAATGGTAAATATAATGGATGGATGTTAGTCAGAAAAAGGTGCATGATTTTACAGAGATATGTATTTGCTATGTAGAAAAGCATTTAGCATAAACAGGCTTAAAATCTAAAATCCTAAAACCAGTTTCGAGTTTCCATATATTTTATTCAGTCCATTATCTGGAATGATCCAAAAATATCCTGTATATACTCGGTGTTTTGTTTGTTTCGTTTTTTAAAGAAGCAAGAGGAAAAGTAATCTATCTTTGTGTAAATGTAAAGAGCACATTTTTACACGAGCCAGGACTTTTTTTTTTTTAATTTACTCAAATAAATTTGAACATACATTACTTCAATGTATACATAAGTTTGCAATATTTTCTTTTAAAAGAAATTGGAAATTATTACATTTAAATAATATTTATCCACTCTCGATTCATTTTTTCACATTTTATTGTATTCTTTAATCTAATTTCTTGTGATAAATATCGTAGACATCACACTTTATGTGTTGATTTTTTATTTTTTTTAATTTTTTTTACAGAACTTCGTTTCGTTAAAAAGAACGCAACGCTTTTCTGTTAGGTTGCGTTTTCAATAAAGTTTGTCCAAAGTTGTGTGACGTCACTTCCGTCATATCCAACATGGAGTCCAGCGGTGTCAAGCTAAGTTTCTGGGAGAACGGACCAAAACCCGGACAGTTTTACTCTTTTCCCGGCAGCAGTACCAGCGGATCGGGTACATCATGTGGGCCGGTTCGACACACGCTGTGAGTGAACCGTCCTGTCGGAACCGAACCTGTGTACATTATTTTAAACCCAAACAGCGGTGTCGCTTTCGGTTTTAGCTCCTCTCTGCAGTGCTGTATCATCATGGAGAAACATGCTAACTGATGCTAAAACCCCTGATTATATCAAACGTAATGTTTTATAACCACCCGAGGCAGGATGACTGATTTAATAGTTTTTTTTTATTTTGTTATGTTTTATTGATAATACGAGTAGTAATTTTTATTGTGTTTCTGTCTTGTTGACTGTACGTTACCGGGTTAGCTACGTTAGCTTAATTTCCTTTTTGTCTCTAAATCTAAATAAAAGCCTTCGTTAATATTTTACGATGTTTTATCTAACCTGGATATGTGGAATGACCTTATCGTATTTTTCTAGTTCAATAAAAGTGTTGATTTCTATTAAAAATTTAAGCTGAAAAACTTAAGACAGAAAAGCTTTTCTGATATTTTTTCTTTAGTTTTCCTCCTTATGTTTAATTATGAGGCTCTTTCTGATTTTATATCTAAAGTGTTAGGTTTCAAGTCGTGCCATTCAATAATAGCTAAAATAACACACAGAAAATTAAATAATAAACCATAACATTTCTGTTGGTCACTGACTGTTAAATTAAAACTGTTCAGATTACACAATGTTTATGTTTATTCAGCTCAAACAATAGGTATTAATTGGGAAATAATATTTTTTGTACAGTTTCAGGCTTTTAAAAATTATTTAAGCGTAATTAAACCTTCTATACTCTCTCCCAACATCCGTCACTATTAGAAAAGTCTGTAACACTTGTGAAATTTAATATTTTGCTTTATGATCAGGATAATTTTTAGTGTGTATTTCAGCTTTATAACTAATTGAAAAGGTTTTAATCCTAATGTGCCTGAATTAACCTGGAAAGTTCTGATGGATTCAATTCATCTGTGCAAATATTTTAGATATTAACCAATAATTTTTGTTCAGTCTTGATATTATATATATTTTTTTGTATGAATAATGACAGTGATATTTCTTCTTCCTCTCCACAGTAACCCGATGGTGACCGGAACATCGGTGCTTGGTGTAAAGTTTAATGGCGGCGTTGCCATTGCGGCCGACATGTTGGGCTCATACGGCTCTCTGGCTCGGTTCAGAAACATTTCTCGCCTCATGAAGGTGATGGCCACAGTAAACAAAAACACAAGTTGCAATGAAAAAGAGAAAACCTGCTTAATCTTAATTTGTGCTGCAGGTAAACGACAACACGATCCTGGGGGCATCAGGCGACTACGCTGACTACCAGTACCTGAAACAGGTCATCGAACAGATGGTGTAAGCTGCTGATCAGAAGCTCAGCCTGCTGCATCTGAATAATGTGTTCCTATAAACATTATTGTTTTCCTGTTAGGATCGATGAACAGCTGCTTGGTGATGGCCACAGCTACACACCGAAGGCTATCCACTCCTGGCTCACCAGAGTGATGTACAACCGTCGCAGCAAGATGAATCCCCTGTGGAACACCGTCGTCATCGGTGGTTTCTATAATGGAGAGAGGTAAGACATCCTGGTTTTAAAAAACAAAACGGTTAGAAATCATGCTGTTGCGTTATATGAAGGGTTTTTATTTTTTGAAGTCCCGCTGGCAGAATATGGAAAACAAGGCAGGGAGTGAAGCGTGTAAGCCTGTATGATGCCCAAGTCCTCCATCTAAGGGTTTACCAGACCCTCAAGAAAGCTGCGATGTGGGTGCAACTTTTCCACAAACTTGACAAATTTTCACCCAGTTTCTGGCGTCAAATCCTGCAGGATAAAAACGTGTTCTGAGCAGGAAAATCCCATTTTTTAATTAATGTTGCTGTTAGAATTGGAGCAAGACAATTTTCTGAAATATTGTGTGAAAGTGGCGTCCCCATATGCAACAGTGTGTTTAAACATAGGTGAAAGTTGTCATTTGACAAACACATTTCTACTGTGAAACAGTCCAGAATGCTTGGGCACAGTCAGCCAGGACTAGAAGTGATGATGATGAGCTCCCCTCATAAATGGAGGAAAATGTGTTTGCCAGCTGAGAAAGTGTCTCCTTAAATCAAATAAAACCTGTCAGTGCTTTAAATTAGTTATATCATTAACAGCTGATAACATAAATGTAGGACAAAGACATGGAAGTATCAGTAATTACCAGATAATTCACAGAGCCTGTAGTTCAGCAGATTCTCTTTTTTTTTTTTTACAATTGGACCTCAGCATCAAAACAGCTCTGCTTTATTTATATCAGTAATGTGTGTGTGTGTGTGTGTGTGTGGGGGGGGGGGGGGGGGCTACAAAGCATCACAGCTTTTAATGGCATCTAAGCCAAAAAAGCTGCTGCAAAATCAGATATTTTAGGCTGCAACAGAAAAGTTCTCAAACTCCTGGTGGGACTTGTTTACTGACATTAACAACAAATTGCTTTAAAATGTTTAAACGAACCAGCACCATCTCTCACTTCTCACCTGTTTTTTTTTAAATATAAAATAACTACACAAATGTTTCTTCTCTAGTTTCTTAGGTTATGTGGACAAGCTGGGTGTAGCTTATGAGGCTCCCACAGTGGCCACTGGTTTTGGAGCGTACCTGGCTCAGGTGAGATCCAGTTTTCATTCAACCTTTATTTAGACAGGTAAATCCCATTGAGCCTCGAGGACTCATTTACAAGAGAGACCTGATTTAACAAAGAATGATGAAAAACATTGGACAACAGCGACAACAATAAACAGTTATAAAAAGTCATACAATTTTTATTTATTTATTTTTTTTAACAAATAGGATGGCTAAAAAATAAATAAATAAAAAAGAAAAGTAACAAAAAACAGCTAGATTGGACGCTAAACAGGCTTTAGCCCATTTTTGACTTTTTTATTTTGCCCATAAAGCCGTGACGCTGACAGACATGAGCGTGGAATTTAATACTGTGTCATATGGGCTTCTGTTTCAGACTTGAACTTCACATTAATGTCATTTACGCTTCATTTTGGCAGTACAGTGGCTAAGTGGTTAGCCCTGTTACCTCACAGCTTAAAGGCTTTAAGCCTCGGGTTGAGCCTGAGGTCTTTCTGTGTGAAGTTTGCATGTTCTCATGTTTGCGTGGGTTTTCACCAGGAACTCGTTTCCTCCCACAGACCAAAAACATGCATGGTAGGTTTCCTTTTAGGCGCAGGGTCTCCTTTGAAAAAAGGATCTATGATGTCAGTGGAATTTGCCTGGTTAATAAAGGTTAATAAATGCACTTTGAGTAAAATCAGCTCTGTGATAAACTTTGACATGATCGAATGTATTTAACCTTGTAAATGTCTTTAATATAGTCGCTCTGCACTGTAACTGAATTCAGAAAGAAGCTCTGCGTACAAAGTGAAGCCTACAAACTGTGTGTGTTTTTACAGCCACTGATGAGGGAGGTAATTGAGAAGAAGGCAGATATCACCAAACAAGAGGCCCGGGACCTGGTGGAGCGCTGCCTCAAAGTGTTGTACTACAGAGACGCTCGCTCCTACAACAGGGTGAGTTCACGTCCCTTCAGCTCATCCCAGATTTAAAAACAAAACGCTAAACTCTTTGGTACTTTAAACTGTGCACATTATCTTGTGTTTACTGATTTGTCTCCTAGACTAATGTTTTGAAAAGATCAACCCAACAGCTCTTTAAAAGCTGTCTTTTATTAGCATACAATTGTTTTTATTACAGCACGAGATTGCCATCGTAACGGAGGAAGGGGTGGAGATCATCGGCCCTCTGTCCTCAGAAACCAACTGGGACATTGCTCATTTGGTCAGGTGAGGTCCATGCTTGTTGCTGGTTTAAAAAAAAAAAGTTTTTTAAAATAATATCAGGATCATATGACCAGTTTTCAAACAGTAACACGCTCTGTATGCATTTTTCTGTTTTCTCTGCAGCGGATTTGAATGAAAGCAAACTTCAGCAACTTTTTTTTTTTTCCCCCCTTCATCAAAAACAGCCAACAGTTCACATTCATCTTCTCTATCCCAGTTTAGTTTCTTTTTGTTTTCTGGTCACTTTTGTAAAATGGAAAATAAATGTGGTAATTGAAACTTATACTGTCTTTCTGGTTTTCTTTGTGTGATGTGAAGGTTATTTGTTAAAGCGTCGGTGTAAAAATTAAAAGTAAACGTAAACATCTGATTTCGAACCAGTCATTTCAACTGTTGGATATTTTGGAGGATTATCTATTATCAAGTGTGTAACAACTGGTGCCATCGGGTGGTTAAGTTGGATATTGCGAACATCTCATCCACTGCTGACACAAGCGAGAAAAATAGGCCAGATACAGCTAAAAATAAAGTACTTCATCTTCAGCCATAAGGTATGAAGTACAAGTACTGGGAAATAAAAAGAAAAACACTTGGTCTACCTCAACTGAACCACAACACCTTCAAAACTTTAAAATACACCATCCCTGTACCATGAATATTTCCAGACAATTTCTAAAATAAAACAGAAACATTGATGCTTATTTTTGTAAATTTTGGAGTACTTTTAAAAGTATTTATTTGCATGTCTTTTTCTTATTTTATTTGCCAAAGTCACTGAAAACAGGTCAAACGTTGAACTTAACCAACATATACACAAATTACAGCCAGCCGGATGTAGTCACTTGATTAAAGCTTCCATGTAATTTTCAGGGGATTTAGCAGAGTGCTTGTTTACACCGAGTATGGACCCGCATTTTGAAATTGCATTTAGCAGATTTGAAAAACTAGAGAGATATTTTAGATAGCACCCTTTTGATTTTTATGTGTCAGTTTATATTTTGCAAGGAGTATCTTTATTGTTTAAATCTTTCATATACAGTATCATGGTTAGGTGGCCCAAAAAACAAAAACGTCTAAAAATAGTCAATCCATAGAAAAATTAAGTAAAAATACTTGAAAAGTTGATGCTCGCATATAAAGCAAACAAACCAATAAATTGCTATTTAAATTACTTTTTTTACATGTATTAAATGTAATATTTAAACTTGTTTGAAGTTTATTCGCTTTCAATGTCTGAACGGACTGCTGTTGCCAGGCAGATTTTGCGAGATAAATTCTTCTGTTTTGTTACTGGGCAGACCAGAAAATGGCGTCCAATCAGAATAATCTATGCCGAAAGAATATTTCTGCTCGGCCAATGGGATTCTGCCTTGTATCGGTATCCGAGTAGATTTTCGAAAGCTGACCAATCACAATAGACGTTTGCTTTGTAGTCAGGCAGACATAGCCAAGTCGTCCAATCACAAAAAAATCTGAAAGGGGATTTTTGCTGTATCTTGGCTCAGGTACTTTCTTTTTCTTTTTAAAAATAATACTAAAATGTGTCTCACCCGGTCGGTCATACATTATTAAGATAATTAATTGACTATTATCTGGGGTCATTTTGAAATCAAAATACAACGCGCAAAAACCCGTTTTGCTGAGGCTCCTTTGAGTTAGCAAATAACCTCAAGCTAGCCGAGCAGCTGTCAACGTTAGCCGTTAGCTTAATCCTCCTTTGTGGCTAACGCCTGTTTGCGGTTTCCAGCGGCATCGTGTGTGTCGGGTTTGATCGTGATAAATATATTTCGCTAGCGACAACGCTTTTGTCAGCAAACGCGAAACATGTCCGTGTTGTCCGTTAGCCAGCTAGCTCAGCCGTGCCCCGTGGAGCTGCGTCGGAGTGTGTTTGTGTGTTGTGTAGGAAATGGCAGGCACATGACCACCGGCGCTACTCCCGCTGTAAACACAGCCGACATGGGAGCCGACATGTTCGGTTCGCACCAGGAGGAGCTCTGGCCGACGACAGGCTGCATTTTACCTCCCAGAAAAAGTCCGCCCCGTTGTGTTTGACAACACCCTGACAGCCAGCACATGTCACCACCAGGCAGCGGGCCTTTTTCAGCCTGGCTGGGCGGAACCGGTGTTTGGACTCTGAGCCTGAATTCACCGTGGTGTGATGCTGAAACGAGGCGAGGAGCAGAGACACACATTCTCCAAGTGACACCTTTATAATCACATAAACCCAAGATCGTTGACAGCATTGGTTCTCTTTGCATAAAAAAAAAAGCACAATTACCCCAGAAGCTCTCTTCTTATTGTGCAATGGTTTAAAGGTTCTTGATGCAAAGTAAAAGAACACATAAATGATCAAATGGTGCAGTTTGAAAGAGTTTTAGTAGTTTTACAGATATGCAATTCTAAAATGAGGGTATGCGCTCAGCGTAAACAAAGATTGAGTCATGTTTAATCTATTTAAATTTAGATTAATTTAAAAATCGTATCTATATGTTTTACTTATAGGGGAGCGATATAAATAAAGATTGAATGGTGGCGCAGAGTTTAGCGAAGGTGGACCTATGATCAGAGGGTTGTCGGTTCAACTCTCCAGACAACATCAAAACGAGGGTGGGAACGGTGAAGCACCCACATCTACCTCTACCCTCTGTGCCCTTGATTCTCATGTTAGACTCATGAATTCCTAGTCAGGATTATCACTGAAAAATATCACTGTGATGCCACTTGATTGTTGATATGTGCTGCTGATTATCCATGATGCTGATCTCATGCTGCTGATTTATTTCATGCTGCTGCGTTCATTCGGCCTCATCTGCTCACACAGACTCATGTTCGTGCTGCTGTTGTTTGGCGCATTGTTTTGTACTATTAGTGCTTAGTGTATTCTTAGTTTAGCGTATATCTTTTTTCATTCAACTTTAATTTATACAGGTTAGTCCCACTGAGCTAGTTCGTATCTTAGATCCTACTATTGTTTTTCTTTACGATTTGTATTTTTGTTGGATGTAACTTGGACCCTGTGTATATAGTTTCGTCCCACCACGTACCACATGTGGTGCGAATGACACTAAAGACACCTTGACCTTGAGCAAGGCCCCAAACCCCCACCGTCTGCTCCCCTGGGTGCCGTAGGTGGCAGCTCTCTGCTCCACACTGAGGGCTGTGGCAGCTCGGTGGTCTGTGGTTGTGTATAGAATGGCATCCAGCGTAAAAACAAATGCTGTCTTCATGCGAGTTAGTTTTCTGCGGCGACCCCTGAAGAAATGAGCAGCTGAAAGAAGAAACAAAGTCCTGCATGTTTTTCCTCAACCAATCTGAGCGTAAACCAGTACGTCTGAAAATTTATAGCTTCTTGATGCCAAATGTCTCCTCCGTGGACGGTGTGACATGTTTTCAGTCCTTTCGGCTCGTTCTGTAGGTAAACAAACACACGTGGATGTTGGCAGTCGTTCACCAATTTTTTTATTTAATGACGCATCTTCAATATGAAAAATAAACATGGATTTTGTTCATGAATTACTTTTATTTTTGGACCAGTCTTCACAACATTTCATTGAATACCTAAAAAAAATTCTTACATTGTTCATGTAGTCATAGGTATCCTAATGAAGAATATGTTTATTTATTTATTTATTTTTGTGTTCTATTAATCGCTTCATAGTTTTCCATCATTTTGTTGATGTTTTCTTGAGTTTTTGGTTCCTGCAAATTAAACATCCTTCACCTGTTGTGTTGTTAACGTTTAGTGTGAAGGCTGAACTTTATTATTTTCACCACAGCTGGTCTTTTTGAGTCAGAAGGGATCTTTACAACTAAAGTTAGTCAGTTTTTCTATGATGACATCATTGTATGTAAGTTAGGGTTTCAGTTCAGCATCTAGACTTCTTAAGCTTTTTGTCTTTGACTTGCTTTGTGTTGCAGAGTTTTTGTGGTCTTCCTCAGCGAACTTTATTTGACGAAGGTAGATGAGATTTTCTGTCTATCTACAGATGGTGGTTCTGAACACTGGTTAGGTGGTCCAGATGTCGGAGGACCAGCACCACCAGCGGGCCGAAGCCTCCCAGCGGGCAAAGGGCGGTCTGGAAGCAGGAGAGGGCGACACAGAGCCCAGCCTGCTGCTGCAGAAACTAAAGAGCAACATCTCGTATGTAAAACCAAAAAAACTATCACTGAATTATTGATTTTCTTTAAAAAAAAAATCTACATTTTTTGTTTAATGGGACATTTTTAACCTAGTGTATATTCAAGGTCTGTGCAGGTAAAAACAAAAGTTTAGAGCCAACAGGATCAGTTTTAGTTGCCAATAAAATGTTGAAGCTTCAATGTTACCACGAGGATATTCATTAGAGATAACTGAATCTTAAGTGTCAAAAAACAAACATTTTATTTAATGACAAACAAAATATTTATCTGTCATTCTAACATTTTCTGTCACACCTGGTTAGCTTGGAAGTTAACGAGCTATTCTTAAGAGGTATTTTTTAAATGAACACCTTTTTGGGATCAAAGCGTTGAACTGATTTAACCCTTTACCACCTAAAATAAACCCACAGAAAATTTGTGCCTCTTGATCTTAAATCATTAGTTTGGTTTGAAACATGGTGTCAACACACCCACAGCTGATAACGTCTGAATGATTATGAGCAGGTTGCTGATTGGTACTTTTCTCTGCCTCGCAGTAAGAATGTTCAGACCAAAGTGGATCAGATCCTGGTAAAAACGTTGCTCTCATTTTTTTCAAGTTTGCTCCTTAAAAGAAAGCGTTCGGTGAAGTTGGCTCACGCATGATCTTTCTTCTGCTTCGACAGCAAGACGTTCAACGTTTCTCTGACAACGACAAGCTGTACCTGTACCTCCAGCTGCCCTCGGGGCCCAGCTGTGGAGACAAAAGGTTTGAGTTGTTTACTGTCAATAAAAGCTTGTTCGAGTCGATGCATATGGTGAGGAGTTTTGTGTTTCAGTTTGTAGTTTTTTTTAAATAAATTATTAATGTTTACCAAAAAGAGCAATTTGTCTAGCACACATTAACGTCGAATCGTCGTTAAAATGAGTTAAATCCTGTGAGTCCAGGGCTCTCAATAAAATAAAGAGTATGGAAGAGAGGGATCTTCGTTACCCAAGCCTTAATTTGTTTTGAAATGTTGAGTAAAGGCAGTGAGACGTGTTATGGATGTTTAAAGACATTTGACTTGTCTTTTGTCTTCATGTTCAGTTAAAAACTCCAGTTTGTTGTTTAAGAAAATAATTTTTGACCTTCAAAAGTCCATATTCAATAATCCAGGTATACAATCCAACAATTTTCAGTCAGGTCATCTGGACAGTTTTTTTTTTTTGTGCTGAAACATTTCATCTTCCATCCAGAAGGCTTCATCAGTCAAGGAAACACACAACACAAAACTGCTTCTTCACCCAACAGCTTACTCCAAAGTGGAACAAACCAGTTATGTTGGTGCTAAGATGGTCTCTTTGGCACGTCCCCTCCTCTGGTGCTGGCCCTCTTCCTCGTCGACAGTCATGTCAAACTGGATTGTATACCTGGATTATTGAGCATGGACTTTGTTGGTTTTGAACAAGTTTGACATGACTGTCGATGAGGAAGAGGGCCGACACCGGAGGATGGGGTGTGCCAAAGTGACCATCTTAGCACCAGCATAACTGGTTTGTTCCACTATGGAGTAAGCTATAGAGGGAAGAATCAGTTTTGTGTTGTGTGTTTCCTTGACTGATGAAGCCTTCTGGATGGAAGGTGAAACGTTTCAGCACAAAAAAAGAAACTGTCCAGATGACCTGACTGAGAATTGTTGGATATTTATGACCTTGGTGTGCCGCTCGGGGTGACTGCATGTTGGAATAGTTCTGTTACTTTCATTCTGAGTTACTTCTTTTGAAAACTTTAATTCTTCTTCTTTCTGGATGGAAATCGCTTTTTTCAGACGATTACTTCCTCCGGTATCGGACGCTGTGCATCTGGAGGGATTTTAACTGAAACCCTTTTACTTTTGGGCATTTGTTATGATGCGTAACCATGGCAACAATGTTTTTTTTTTACAACCTGGAGCAGCTGATTAACCTTTCAAAAACTCAAATACCTCAGCTACAGCCACAAATCCCAAATTAGTTGAAAAGGAGGCGCTGTGGATGAATTCCTGTCAACCTGGCGGAGGTGATCGAGTACCTGACCGCCGAGATCATGGAGCTGATGGGAAACTCGGCTCGTGACAAGGAGCTTTCAGGCAGTCCTGCTGCCCAGGAGGACCGAGAGGCCCGCTGGATCTGACAGCAAGCTGGATCCAGGTGGACGGATCGGTATCTGTAGACAGATTCTTCAAATTCGCTGCAGGAGATCCTTCCTGCCCGCAGCTATCAGCATCTTTAACAACTCTTGAATAAAACAAGGACGATGAGCTATGACAACACTTCATTTCCCTTTGGGACGAATAAAGTATTTTTGAATTGAATTGAATGGGAATAAAAATGTTTGTTTGCATTATGTTGTGACAGGACGGGAACACGTGTGCTCTTGTTTAATTTTAATACAGATTCTTTTGCTTGTGTCTGCGTAGTGGTGGTGACGCCAGTTCGTTCAACACAGCCGACCAGCTTCACACCTGTAACTGGATCCGCAGCCACCTGGAGGAGCATTCAGACACTTGTCTGCCCAAACAGGATGTCTACGAGACGTACAAGTGAGACGGCCCAGAAAGGCACAGATTTAACTCACAGAAACACCAGATTATTAATCTGTAATCCTTGTCCTGCAGGAGATACTGTGACAACCTGCAGCATCGTCCTCTGAGCGCTGCCAATTTTGGGAAGATCATCCGAGACATTTTTCCAAACATCAAGGCGAGACGACTCGGGGGCAGAGGACAATCCAAATATCCTTTGAATGTCTGACACAAACTGCGGGATGAGAGCCAAGGATAGTCTGCTCCTCTTACTTTAGATTTAGTTTGAAATTTATGCATTTGCTATTAAAATATATTATTATTTGACATGAAAAATGTCCAAGTATGAAGTTTGGATAATTTAATAACTTGAAACTCGACTCACTGTACTTTCTGCTTGTTGTAGAAACTGTTCATTCTGAAACACATTTCTGTTTCCTTTTTTTACATTTAATTAAATTATCACACTAATCAGTAATATCTGAGTAGGATTTTTTAACTCTAGAACTTAAAAAAGGAACATCTCTCTTGTTGTCTAACTGCACTACCTGCGCCTGACAGACATAGCTGAGGGTTTACTACAATACGTTGGAGTTAATCGCTGCCGCCTCTTTATTTTTATGGTGTTCTCTTGATTTGACCATTTAAAAGCTGCTTTTAACCTCGTGATGTTTGTAAATGTGGTGTCTGGAGGTTGCAGGTTGAATTCCTTAACCAGTTTGTCTGACACATACTGTTACAGCGGCATCAGGAGGAAGACCGTCCTCAACATGCCTCTTCTGCCCAACCTGGACCTGAAGAACGACCCGGTACCCACACGACTCTAATACTGTATAACTGTATACTACTAGTGATCCTGTACTACAACAAATACTCGTGTAGTCTCAAGTCTCAAGTCTCAAAACCGCAAGAGGCTTTAGAAGCCTCAGAAATATTTTTCTTTTTTTTTTGTACTTTGTAACTTTTCAAAAATAATAAAAATGTTCTTGTTCTTGCATCATTAAGGACAATAGAAGAGGAAGTTGATTTAACACACTTCCTACAGAGTGTGACGTTCTGCTGTGAGGAACGTTCACTGAGCTCCTGTTTTACTTTGGTTCCTCTTTGCAGTCGGAGCTGACTGAGCTGGTCCAGACCTACAAACAGGAAGTGACGGAGGCGGCGTGCGAGCTGATCTGCGATTGGGCGCAGAAGATCTTGAAGCGTTCCTTCGACACGGTGGTGGAGATCGCCCGCTACCTGATCCAGGAGCACATTGTGAACCCTCGCTGCAGCCAGGCCGATCTGGTGACCTCTGCTGCCCTCGCAGGTTGAACGATCGCATCCAAGGGGACACATTTTGTTATAAAGCGACAGAATCATGTTGGGAGTCCACACAGGGATCATTTAAAGTTATTTTAAAGCAACAAATCAGGAAGAAACGGTTAAAGTGGGTTTTTTGGGATTTCTGAAGTGCATAAGTAAAAAATAAACAAACAAAAAAAATAAGAAATTGATTTGGAGCCAAAACTTTTCCCGCCTTGGATCCCCGTTCAACTTGAGGTTAAAAACGTTCACGGAACCTCAAACATGGAGGGTCAAAACTTTCGATTACTTCGTTACATCAGTTTTTAATATCAGTTTTAAAATTGTTAAAATATGTTTAATGACTGAACTTGGGGGAGTGGTGGTGCAGAGGTTAGAGAAGGTGAGCCTGTGATTGGAAGGTCGCCGGTTCAACTCCTTGGACCAACAACATCAAAATGCGGGTGGGAAAGGTGAAACACCTACACCTGCCTCCACCCTCATTCGCCCCATTCTGTCCCTTGAGCAAAGCCCTGCATCTGCTCCCTTGGGTGCCCTACATGGCAGCTCTCTGCTCCACACAGACGGCTGTGGTAGCTCGGTGGTCTGTGGTTGCATCAAGAAGGGCATCCGGCATAAAAACAATCACCAAGTCTTCATGCGAGTTAGTTCGCTGGGAGCAACCGGGAAAAAAAAAGTTTATTCTTTATATTTTGTTTCCAAGTGGAAGTTCTCACTTTAGACTTTGAGAAAAGTGGCAACATTTTGCAGAATGGGGACACTTTCTAACTTTAAAAGTCTTTTAACAACCTTTATTTATACAGGTTAGTCTCACTGATCCACGAGGACTCATTTACGAGAGGGACCTGTTTAGGGATGCACCGATCCACTTTTTCCACTTCCCGTACCGATTCCCGTACGTGTTGATCTGATTGGTTAAGTTAGTAGTGTTATAGCTGGACGTTTTGGTGCCACCCCTTGGAACCGTCGCTGCGCACGTATTGCACGTAGCGGTCGAACGTGTTGGCTGAGGGAGTGTGAAATAGTTCCAGATGACTGATCCTTTCGCTCGCTCCATTTTGAAAACGGTCTGTGCAGCGAGTTCGCTAGCGCAGAGCACAAAGCACAGAATTAGAGTGAATAGATCTGCCCAGTTATGGATCGGCCACATTGTCACCGATACCCGATCCAGAAGTTTTTCGATATCGCGACCGATGTTGGAATCGGATCAGTGCATCTCTAGACCTGTTTCAGACAGAACGTCTAAAGCACAGACAACAATAACAATAAACTACAGTAAAAATGCAGTTCAAATAAAAGTAGTGTTATAAAACAACAAACCAGGGTGCCGTAAAACAAGAACATTTACAGCGAGCAGCAAATGCCTCCTACTTTTGTAAAACCTGTAAACTGATCGGAGCGGTCGAGACTGTTGAAACAAAGAACCTCGACTCATGGCAGACGGATTTTTACGAGTTGAAATAATTATTCAGGCAGCGTTAAAGATTATAATTCCTACAGTGGTTAAACAGACTCTGCTGCCATTTTTGAAAACAACTTAAAGTTTCTGCTTCTGTCGTGCTCCTGCAGGTGGTCCAGCTAAAACGCACAAGGTCATCAAGAAAGCTCCTGTGCTCTCCAAACCTGATGGAGACGAATCCTCAGATCAGAGGGTCTGTTTCCAGCCGAGCGCTGATTTTATTCATCCGTCTGTCTTTCTGCTCACTTACTTCCTGTTTGTCTGCAGAAGGAACAGGGAGACTCGTCTTCATCCTCGTCCTCGTCCTCTCAGAAGCTTCCGTCTGGAGACAAGTCAGCAGCAGCAGCCAAACCTTCCACAGCAGATGCCCCGCCTCCTTCCTCTACCTCTTCTTCATCTCTGCGACCAGCGGTAGGTCAACACTAAAACACTTTTTTTTGTAACTGAGGTGCTGCTGTGTGGAGACAGACACCCAAAGTCTTCAGATCTGGACTGGACTGTAGAAATAATGAAACTTTAATGAAGTTTTTATCAAACTATAAAAGCTCAAAAGCAAACAGTAGAGAGGTTTTTTTTTTTGCACTAATGTGCGACAGCTACCTGGATTAATTGTTGAATAACCTCTGACCTTTTTTTTTTTACCAACTGAATAAAATAAATAAATAAAAATTCACAGTTTTTAGGCACAAATCGAACAGAATGCCCAACATGAAGATTCACACCTTATTAGGCCTGTCGCGATAAACAATAAATCAATTAATTGCACGATAAATGAAAATTATCGACCTCATTTTCATTTATCGTTTGTTCGTGTCTCTCCTTCTACCGAAGACACCGGATGACAAAAGGCTCAACTCTGGTGCTCTTCACTGACCCCTCCCTTTCTCCTTTCTTTTTAAAATCCATTTTAATCGTCCAAAATGGCGTTTTTGGATCGTTAAAAGAAGCTAAGCTGAGAAGCTAAGCTAACAGGCCGACCTTGGGAAAAAAAAAAACCCTCCGTCTTGTCAAAGTTACAAAATTCACGGTTGAAACCCGTGCCTTCGTGTAAAAAGTTGTTTTCTCTGCAAAAAGAAGCTGAGAACTTTGTTTTAAACTGGTTTTTATTTATTAAAAGCTTTGTGTGACAAACGCTTTGCTAAAGAGCTTAAAACACACCGAGCGTCCGCCATTTTCAGAACCAAAAAACAGGAACGAGAGACAACTCACGTCACGTCAAGGGGCTTCCCTCTGATTTTTATTAAAGTGACACGCTGCTCGCCCCCTCACTATCCGTCCTTCGGTTCAGTCTTATACTGCCGTCCGGTAGTCAAAAAAGTACTACACACAAAAATTAACCAACAGTTCTTCTTTAATTTGACAATAATTACTAATTATTGTCAAATTTCAAACAATATTATCGTTTATCGCAATAATTTCTGAGACAATTAATCGCCAAGCAAAATTTATCGTGACAGGCCTAAACCTTTGTGTAATTTAAAAGATGCTGAGCAGACGTGTTTCAGTTGTTGCAGTTAAAATGAGCAGGTAACATGAATCCTGATCTCTGGCTGTGCTGCAGGTGGAGGCGTTCATGAAGCAGTTACCCAGAATCCTCCCTCGCAGCTCCGTCCCTGATAAGAGCCTCTCTGTCCGCGCCTCTCTGCCCTCGCAGGCTCCCAAAGAAGCCTCTGGTGTTGGGGGGCCTTCTGGACACGGGGGCTCTGCTGACCTTCACCCCACTGCCAGCAGTGGTGGGGTGAAGGTCATCGCCATGGCAACGCTGCCCCAGCAGCAGGGCGGGCCTGTCCCTGTGATGTTCCTTCCTCAGAGCTGTCTGTCGTTTGAGAGGGACAAGGTCGCTCCACCTCCTCCTCTTCCTCTTCAGCAGCAGCAGCACGCAGTGGCAGCCCCCACCTCGGTGGTCCAAAAAGCACGAGGGACCGCCACCAAGCGCCCGCTGGAGGGAGAGACATCAGGCGGCGGTGCTGCTGGTGTGTCTGGTGCCTCAGCTGTCAGCACGTCTCCAGTGAAACGGAAACGTGGACGACCAAGAAAACCTCGGCCTGAGGACTCACTTCCTGCTCCTCCTGTCACTCTTCCTCCTCAGCCTCCCCCTCCTCCTCCCTCTCAACAACCAATCATTACCTCCCTGACTGGCGGCGTCATCCAGAAGGCTTCTTCCTCTTCGTCATCCTCCTCGCAGCCTGTGGTGGAGCTGGTGATCCAGGAACCATCAGGTTTGGTTCTGAGCCAGCTGCCGGCCATGTCAGACCCCGCCCATCGGCTGTTGGAGCACCGCGGCGTGGTGGTGCAGTGTCAGACAGGTGGGACGGCTGAGTTGGACCATCACAGCAGGCCGCTCCTGGTGTTCCAGAGTCCTGGGAACCCAGGCTGGGAGCTGGCCTCGCCGGGACGGACCCAGATGGTAGAGGTGATCCAGAAAGCTCCGAGGCCGAGCAACAACAGTACAGCTCCTCCACATGCAGCGCAGCTCCACCTGCCTCCTCTTCCTCTGCCCAAACTGCAGGAGGATCAAGGCGAGGTGGAGATCACGCTGATGCCAGTAGATCTGAATGTCAGCTCGCCTCCTTCCTCGACTGCTCCTGCCTCCTCCTGCTCTCTTTCCTCCGCGATGGTGGTGAAACTAGAGGATGAGGAGGAAGGAAACGGCATCTCAAACAGAAAAGGACTTTAGCTTTTATCAACTTCCCTCTGGTCTTTTTGTAATAGCCCTTCACTCAACTTTTACCTCACCTGCTAAAAGCCCCGCCCCTTTACCTCCTCATTGGTGGAAATCCCAGATTGGCTGCAGCAGAGAGCCAATCAGGCAGGATGAATGAAGCCAAAACGTCAACACTAGGGATGCACGATATTATCGGCATGGTATCGGTATCGGACGATATTAGTGATAAAGTTAAATATCGAATATCGGCCATTCCATCAAAATAACTCACCGATATAAAAGGTGATGTTTCAGCACAATGTTATGACATCACACACTCCATTGAGTTTAGATTTGTGAAAATTTACAAATTTGCACTCTTCGAGTGTTGTCGTTGTGTTAGAGAGAGTAAATGTCATGAATAAATTTGACATTAATAAACAATCTAAGTTGAAATGTTACATCATTTTCAGCCCCTTTTTTGGCGTCTGCATTTGATAGAAGGACAATCTGACAAAGACCATGCAGAATAATGTAGTATTTTAATTCCACAGCAGAGAAAGTTATGTAGTCTCTGTAAGTAGGTTTAGGGGGGAAAATATCGGTATTGGTATCGGTTATTGGCCAATTAAGTTTTAACATATCGGATATCAGCCAAAAATCCAATATCGTGCATCCCTCGTCCTTTCCTCGCCTACAGAGCACTCGTCCACTGCCTGAACACTGTTTGAAACCCGTGGTTCTTTAAACGCATGTTTGTCTGTGTTGAAACCAGAACCACTTTCCTCTCTTCCTTCATTCTTGTAAACTCTAAAAAAAAAACAATTCTGCGCTGAGATTTGTTTGTTAGCTCCTGCGCTTTATGTAAACGAGAAAAACCTGACAAAGGGTCAACCATAAGAGAGAGGGAAGTTGCAAAAGGAGGAGGGAGATGAGTTAGGTGTAGATGGAGACAGCGGGTACGTACGGGTCGGAACCTTGAAAAGGTTCTCTGCGCTAAAACAAGCCCTTAAATAGAACCCAGCTTTGACTCACTTCATGAAACTGTTGGAAAAATTAGCTCGAAACTTGAGCTACAAGTAAAAAGCGTTTATATGGAGACGCAACCAGAGAGTTCTGGGGACTGATCCAAAACGTGACTCAAAGCTCGGTTCTCCCCTCCTCTTCAGGAGTTCCTCTGTTCTAAACAGCTTTGTGTTTTTGTTTCTGTCTCTGAGAGAGAAAAAAAAGAACAATTATTTAAAAGAACAAATCACCCAAATGAATATAATGTGTAAAATTTGACATTTTATATAAAAAAAAAAAAAATAAAATGTTAGTGACTTTTTAAGGAAATCTGAATAGTTTATAATATTTGTCAGAAAAAAAAACAGCTTGACCAGATTCAGCATCAGAATGTTCATAAAAGTTTTAAAATTAATCATAAACTCTAAAACATCTGAAGTCGGGTCTGTTTCGTAGCTTCTCAGAACATTTTCAAGTCAAGAGCCAGTCCTGAATTATTACTTTTCAGTGCCATTTTACCGTCAAGACTGTTAAATGTGAAGCTGTAGGCGTCAGCTTTTAGTGTAACATAGCACAAAAAAACAGGAAATTTATTTAAACGACACGATCTCTGACCTAAATGATCCCAACCAGACCCGACTGAAACTGTTCCTGTCACAAACAACAACATGTGGTGATGTGCTCATCTCCTGCAGCCTGCCAGATGAAAATAGATTCACAGAAATGGCAGGAGTGGAGTGAAACTTGTTCCTAACCGCTGGAGAAAGTTCAGCCTCAGGAACTATAAAGCACAAAGATTTCTGCCACGTAGCACTAATATGTTAAGATGCAGTAGAGATGAGATATAAATAGGGGGTATTTGCTTCTGTAGCACTAAAGTTGTAAACGTCATGACGAACCTGTTGGTTGGCTTACCTGTTTGTTGCCATGCGCCCTTTGCACTACTTCCAGTCACCTCTTTGAGCTCGCCTCTGCAGCTCTGCTCCAGTCAGCAATGTGACACGACCAGGATCGTTTCCCGTCTCTGTCACTGACTGGCTGCCGAACAGCAATCTTCTCCTGGCCTTAGTTTTTTAAGCCGATACTCCAACTCCAGTTGACCGGTCACAGGACAAACCTCCAAATGACGTGAGGAGTTGGAAACAGGAGTGGAAAAAAACTGCAAGTCTCTTAAGGTTTCATCTCACTGGGCTGTGACTGCTGTTGACTCGAAGTTGTTGAAAAGTTTGACCCTTTTTTTTTTTTGTAGTTTCACTGAATTCTGTTTACGACCACAAGCTGTGCAGCCATGTTTTGAGCTGAAAATCACGGCTTGTAACGCTGGATTCTGGGCCATCTACATCATTTTGTTGCCCACATTGTACTCGCCTCTGCAGCTGCCTCCATGTTTATGGTTTAATTTATTGGAGTACCCTTTTAAGACAAAGAAGAAGGCTGTAATTTGGGGCTGTGACCTCCACTTCTACGACACAATAAAAACAACAGATGCTCACTAAAGTGCTTTTACATTTCAGTCAAACTAAAGTTAGAAAACAGCAATTAAAAAAAGCACTATCGTACAAGAAACATTAAAGGAATAGGTGAAAGCTAAAACAAAATAGTCCCTCGTCTATCACGGGGGATCTGTACCCTAAAGCCCCGCGGTCAGTGAAAAACCACAGAGTAGGAATAGTAGTACAAGTAGTAAGTAGTATTTTATTATATATACATATATATATATATATATGACATTTTCAACCCTTCTCACACTCTTGCAATATTCTAAACAATGTTTCTAAACTCTAAACGCTCTAACAGAGCACAGAATGTCATGATTTCAGCTCCCTGCCGCTGCTCTTTGCCACCTGCAAGCACTCTTGGCCACGCCCACTTCTCCGCTCTGCACGGAGAACAGCTGATCAGCTGCAGAAGGAAGTTTATCTTGCAGTATGGGCTGCAAAAAGGTGCAGCAGGTGCTAAATAATTTTAAATAATTTATTTTAAATTAAAATTCCATATCGTGCAGCTCATCCGTCAATCAGCCAATCGTGTGTCATGTCCAATCTTATTTTGAAAAATCGTGATAGAGCAAGTCCGCGATAAACGAACCGCGAAGTAGCGAGGGACTACTGTACAGAAACTCAACATTAAATCTTTGACTTTGTTAGATCAAGGTTATTCAACTAAATTGCTCAGGGGGCCACAGTTACTGGAAGCCAAGAGCTCAGGGGCCAAGCTGTTATAGTCATTAGGTAAGTTTTTTTATTTATTTTTTAAACGGTTTAAAATCTATTTTTATTTAAAATGAACCCATTGAGGGGCTGAACTGAGTTCACCTGTGGGCCTTATTTGACCCCTGGCCGCCAGTTGAATAGCCCTGCTCTAAATAAAACACAGAAGAAACGATGGATTTAACGTCTCATCAGTCAGTGGGTACGAAAAGGTAGCCCGCCCATATTTATAGTTTAATATGGATCTTGGAACATTTGAGGGAAACCGTTTAATGCATTTATTGGCGTGTGGATTTTAAAGAGATGACATAAATCTGATGGAGCAATAAAATAAAAAAATTCAAAAACTAGCAGTAAATCCTAAAATCAGTTTGATAACAGACGAGAAGCCAGGACCAGAGCTGTGCGTTCACGAGTTTTAGAGTCGGAGTCAGAGATTCTTTATTGTCATTCGCACCTCATGTGGTACATGTGGTGGAGCGAAATTATGTGCCCAGGGTCCCAGTTACATCCAACAATGAAAATGTAAAAGCAAAACAATGATAACATCCAAGATATGAACTAAGAAAAACATCAACTAAAAATACACTAAGAACTAACAGCATAAAAACATTATGTTGAACATCAGCACAAACATGAACACGAGTCCGTGTAAGCAGATGTGCACGCATGAACACACCAACATTGAAACAGATCAGCAGCAACATTGAAACAGATCAGCAGCAACATTGAAACAGATCAGCAGCAACAGGATATGGTTTTTCACAGTGATTATTCTGGTTAGAGATTCATGAGTCCAACAGCCTCAGGGTAGAAGCTGTTCCTCAGTCTAGTGGTTCTACACTTAATGCTCCTCAACCTCCTTACTGAGGGGAGTGGGGCAAAAAGTGTGTGTGTTGGGTGAGTGGGGTCCTCCATGATGCAGGTGGCTCTCTTCCTGCATCTAGAGGTGTAGATGTCTGTGATGGTGGGGAGGCTGACTTCAACATCTTCTGTGCAGCCTTCACCACTCTCTGCAAAGCTTTTCTTTCTGCAGCTGTGCAGCCTCCATGCCACAGGTTGATGCTGGAGCACAGGATGCTCTCCTCTGCACACCTGTAGAAGGAGGTGAGGACTGAGCTTCCCAGACTAGCTCGTCTCAGCCGTCTGAGGAAGTAGAGTCTCTGATGAGCTTTCTTGATCAGGCTGGTGGTGGTGTTGCTCCAGCTGAGGTTGTCATTCAGGTGTACACCCAAGTACTTGTAGCTGGAGACCACTTCCACCGCAGATCCTCTTATGTTCAGGGGGTGTAGATGTTTTTGTTCCTTCTGAAGTCCACAATCATCTCCTTTGTCTTCTTCACATAGATGTGAAGGTTATTCTCTTTGCACCAGCTCTCCAGGTGTTCCACCTCCTGCCTGTAGCTGGACTCATCATTGTTTGTGATGCATCTAACCACCGCTGTATCATCTGCAAACTTTACAATGTGACAGCCTGGATGGGTAGCTGCACAATCATACGTGAGCAGAGTAAACAGGAGGGAGCTCAACACACATCCCTGAGGAGAGCCAGTGCTGAGGGTTTTGTGGAGGAGGAGAAGTTGTGGATCCTCACTAACTGTGGTCTGTTTGTTAAGAAGTCTAGTACCCAGTTGCAAATGGAGGGGCTTAGTCCTAGTGTGGATAGTTTGTCCATCAGGGTTTGGGGGATCATGGTGTTGAAGGCAGACGTGAAGTTCACAAAGAGCATACGGACGTAAGAGTTTTTCTGTTCCAGGTGGTTGAGTGCAGTGTGGACCACAGAGGAGATTGCATCCTCTGTTGATCGGTTCTCATGATATGCATACTGGTGAGGGTCCTCATTGATCATTGCAAAAATCGTATTTATTGCTTATAAATGAGGTAATTAGAGAGTCAGTTACCAGGGGCAGCTGCCACTCTGAGCCACCCTCGAGAGCCACCACTGATTCCAGCAGCAGTGATGAGTTTAGACAAC